AACTGTCGACTGTAGGTTTTCGAGGACGAGGCGGAAGGGTTGTCTGAACTGGACCACGAGAATACCTAAGGAAACACAACTTAGAAATCACTGTTAAGTTGTTGAGGCATATATTCAATAAAGCTACAGAGCCGCAAGCATTATTTCTTTTTTCTTTTCCCACCAAGATCATTTGAACTAGATTCTAATGTAAAAATGACAAGAACTTCTCTTGCATCAATTTAACTTTTCAACCTTTTCCGAAGCCAAAAATAAAAACCCAGAAATGGAAGAACTATGTCATAGTCCAGAGTTCAAAATTCGCAAAGCATATAGTCTGAAGCTAAAAAATATCAGTTCTCTAAAGATTTCGTTCTCGATTTCCATTGGCAAGTGAATATGCCAGGACGATTCATGCCAAAACTAATAAGGAACTTACATTCGGTATCCGTCAAGAGTGAAAACTTCTTTCAGATTTGAGAGTCTTTTCTCAAAGGCAATTGCCTTTCCAACCTCATAATTCTCGGCAAGCACTTGTCTCTCGACACCACTCTGGAACCAAATCAAAATATGAATTATTCCTGCAGAGGGTTGGGACGAATAATTAGTTTCTAAAGGAAAAACATTTATTCAGATTACCAGATCCACCAAGACATTGAGAACAGTAGGATTATCAGAATGTAAGACAGACAGGACAGTCGGGTGCTCTGTTTGGGGAAGCATGTGGCTTGGTATATTTAACCTACATTTTACCAAGATTTTTGCATTTTAAAGTTAAATCATTAATCAAAGCAAAAGATAAAGAAGAAACATTGGATAGCGTATTTCAACTTGAACCTTGGTCTTGAAAAGTCATAGATGATAATTCTTAGGTTGTTATAGTTTGCTTCTCTTGCACAACCTCTCAAAGCAAGAGAATCTTTATGATTGGTCACAATGAAAGCATTTAGAAGGTTTCCAACGGCTAGTTCAACTGCAGGAGCCCATTTATTACCATTGACCAACATCTGCAAAGCATTACAAGATTATAAAGGACGTATTTACCTCCCAAAGGCATTCAAACTTAGAAACGGAGAAAATGATTACAACAAATGAAGATGTTAGCTTATTTTCACATCACATTTGCATGGGCCATATGAGATGGCATGCAAAAAGACTAACTATATTTCCTGTACACGGAAAAGAACAAATAGAAACTCACCACGTGGGCACCAATCGGACCAATGGGTGGACTTCTGAATTTGTGGTGATGTCTCTCAATTGCTTGCAGAAGATTAATGACTCTATCCCCGCCAAATGCAGTCACCTAGTGAACATGCGTGTAATTTGAGCCTCTTTGTTTGAGCAAAAGAAGCTTAAAATTCTCAGACTGAATCTCCAAGATGATTGTTAATACTCCAAAAAATTGAGAAACAAAAAAAATAGAAAGTACGCGGGAGATGACAGCTGCTAATAGATCCATGCAATTGGATACGTTGGACGCACCTTATTTGTCTGATGTTTCCTCATCTCGTTAATTTGAAATTTTATCTCTCTCTGCCTCTTTTCATGATCTCTAATCTAGAACCCAAAAAGCAATCAGCTGAATGTAAAGACATTTATAGAACACACTGTACCAGGTGTTGAATTATAAAATCGGGAAGAGCACACATACTAGAAAGAATAAATTCTAGGGCTAAGGTTCATGTGGAATGAAGCAAAACTACAAGCATCATCCTACCGTATCCTCTGTTTGTTCCATCTCCTTCCGTACAGCTGATGTTTTTTCCATTATGATGTTCTCTTCGTCTTTCAATCTAAGGTATCAAATGCATAACCGATGCTTTAAAAACAAAAACGAAACAAAAAAGCACAGTACAAAGAAAAAAGTGAATAGCAGTTTATAGCGACCTGGAAAGCACTGACTCAGCCTTCTCAACCTCCTGCGCCAAATGTCTTAGTTTTTCCTCTATTTCAGATTCTTCAGCCTGCATCATTACCAAACTATGAGAACATTTGCACATAAACACTCAATTGCATATATATATGTGTGTGTATCCTCCATCTTAACTATTCCTCAATCTTTACTCAAAGAAACGAATCATAAAAGAAAAAGAGATATAGGTTGTCCCGGTTTTTGGAAACCTGTGTGCTTCTCATGGCTTGTTCATTGATATCTTTGATTTGCTTCTCAAGTCTCGTAACACGGTCCTTAATCTTTTGAACGTTCTTGGAATTGTGGTTGTATTCTTCTTCTAGTGTAATCTTCTCTCGTGCAGCCTGCAATACGAATTTGTAAGACCAACAAAAAAGATTAAGAAAAACTTTTACCAAAAGCACGTTAATATTCCACAAAAGCTATTAAGTAATATATCTACACACACATAGACCAATGCCATGCAAATCTGACAATTTCGCATCATAAGCATTTCATTTGTAAAGCCAGTATTTTCAATCATTTCCTCCATTTTCCCGAACAAATAACTTGTGAAATAAGAGGGAAGACGAATTCTCGAATTGCATGCAGTAATACGAAAATAGTTCTATCCACTGATCCCCTTTCCTTCTCAGAACTAATCTGAACATACCATCTTGGCAGACTGCCGCAAACACTCAATCTCTCTCTTCATTGCAGTTGATTCATCCATCAGCTTTGCAACTTGAGATTTCTTCTTGGTAAGGCGTTCCCTCAAAGACTCCACTTTTCTCTAAGAAATGGTCAAGACAGATTTGAAATCAAAATGAAGTGATATGCAATATGTGCATGCATGCTCTAATTTTGCAAAAGGCCAGGGTTCAAGGCTCATGTAGCATATCACCAAGATGTTAAACGATGATCCTTATGCCCCTAAGAGGATGTGTGGTGTAGAACTAACCTCGAACCTCAACATAATTGAACATCATCCATTTAATACAACGATTAAAGCTTTAGTGGTTTGGCCCCACGGTAGTGTAGGGTTAATATAAATTTATACGTGTATGCAACCTAGCAACAAAAACTTTCCAACCATATACGGCTACCAAAATTTGAGACTGATGGAAAAGAGTTTACCAGTTCCCAATCAATTTTAGCTTGGCAAGTGGGTACACGTTCCTTAAGCTTCACAATCTTCTCATTTTGTTCTTTCAGCTGCCTGTCCACATCGTATACCCACGACCAAGCCAATTTCTTTTTCAATTGCTGCAATTGTTGAGTAATTTCCTCGACTTGTTCCATGCTCTTTATCTTTCCACACAACTCACTGAGTTCCCTTTCTATCGGTTTGATTGTTTCTTCCAATTCGCTGACAAGCGCATTTGCAGCATTCAAATGTTCATATATACTTTGCAGAAGATCGTTCACTTGTTGAAGAAGGGTCGCCTTGAAAAAGAACTAAATAATAGACACTTTCAGCCAAAAACCAACATTGCCCCTTTAATATAGAGTGAAAAGACATATGCATACCTTGAATTTATCTTTGTCATTTCCAGAATGCAGAAATTCCCGACTCTTGTCTTGACTCATTATGACACATGGATTCTCAACATCAATCTACCCGTGGAAAATAAATACATATCGAAACGATGAATAAGATTCATGAACTTAGAGATTTAGAGGAGATACAAAAAGAACAATTAAAAAAACAGCTGATACAAACTATATATCATATTTCAAGATTTGGATCTAAAAGAAAACTCACGTTAAAATGTTCAACTAGTTCCCGGAGCTCCTCCTTTCGGCTAGAGACTTTTCTTCCTATTGAACAAATATTGCAGAGAACAACTGTAAGCAAAACTACTTGAATATGAATTTCAGTTTTATGGAAAAACATGAAAAAGGAAAGAAAGGTTGTAAATTGACAAAACAGACAAGATCAATAACAGTAGTTCACAATGGAAAAAAGGCGACTCAACCATCACAACTAGCAGAAATACAGGCAATGACACAACACACAAGATTAACTTCAGACAGTGGCAACAGGGACTTAAAGAGAAAAAAAGAACAGTGACATAGATACTGACCTAGTTTATCCTTGAGAACAGTAGAACTAGTAGACTCAGATATCCTGCGTTCAATAATTATCATGTCACCATATATTCCAGATTTGAAAGCATCATCTCCTTGGTTTTTCACTTCGACATGAACGAGAGCATAGCTGCAAAGAAATTTTTTTAGAAAAGTTCTGTCATTGTTAAGATCATTCTTGACAATAAGCAATGTAGAGCAACACTCAATCATGCTCTTGCATTCCGGCCATTCTGCTAACCAATTATGTAAATTGCAAAATAATCCAAAGAAACAAGGGTCAAAACCTGCATCCAGTTTTTATGAAATCCTTCAATGTGGAAGCTCGTTGAGTGCCTTTAGCACGACAGCCAAATGCAATACATAGAGCAGTCAATATTGCGCTCTTGCCACCTAAAAGTTAATAAAAGAATTAACTTTTCACCCATTTGAAATTTAGCTAAAAGGGGTACGAAACAAGTAACAGCATCCATCCGTAACACCAATCTAGTGAAAAAAAACACCTCAAAATGGCATTTTCCGGTATGTAAACCCAAATTATCGATGAATTCCATCAACATGATACTCGCGTCTGTACAACCCAAATTCACGCTCAAATTCCACCAGCAGCCTACTATAAGAATAACAATTTTCACACAGGAACTGGAAATACAGTAAATCAGATGAAATAGCAGCTTCCAAACAGTCACTTCCTGAACAAATTCCAGAATGTACCCAATACATGACCAAGTTCAAAGGACAAAAAAGGCTCTATCAAAATAGGCGAAACCCCAGCTCCAGAAAAACAAAGAAAGAAGCTACTACAGTCATGTAGAGAGAGAAATAGTGAAATTTGTTTACAGAGAAATCGACTTACTTCCGTTTTGGCCGGTGATGAAATTGACCCATTCCCCAAACTCAATCTGGAGGTTACTATGGCACATGAAATTCTCGAGACGGATCCTGAGGATTGTACCTGACCCTGATCGCTGATTGATGAAGGGATTACTGGTTCGAACCCCCGGAAAATCCATGGCGGTATCGGCCTAGGGTTTCTGGCTTCGCCGAGTCAAAGAATTGGACGGGGAGAGAGAAAGAGAGCTGCGCGTCCATTGGACTGCTTTTTGGCGGGAAAGTGAGGACGGCTTAAGATACGTCCACGTGTACATTCGCTCCAACGATATCGACCGTCGGATATTTTGGGCTTTAACAAATATCGAGCCCGGCCTTTGAATGGTAACTGATATGGGCCCATCTACTCCCCACTTTTACCGGTCCAAACGAACCGGGTATTGTTTTTCTTAAGCGGTTCATCTTGGATTTCGGTACACACACATCTTCTCGCGATTGGAGCTATCATTTAGTTCCCGTTTATTTCAACTCGATAGAGTTTTAGAACACCGATTATGGTAATACATTGCGTATTTACAAATATATTTTCAAATAGAAAATTCAACATCAGAAATTCATACATGTAAATTTTATTGGCGGCAGATCATTTACTATAATATATCGATATATGTATATATGAGACTATTTGTTTATATGTTTATATTTATATATTTGTGCAAAAAAAATCAATAATGGATTCTTCGGACTAATTATCTTACTCGCATTTCTTTACCTATATAGATTTTCTAGTCAAATATCACATTCATTGTGCCATTAAATACCACTAAATATTTTCAAATATTACACACATTCAACAAAATCTATAAAGTTAGACCAATATCTATGAAAATAAGATTACTTTACGAGTTGAACAATAAAAAGGTTCAAATATTGTACTAAAATCCTGGACCTTTTAATTGTGTTTTTATGGTTTCCACCCATTTGTTTACACTGTGTAAATGAATTCCCATGTAATGTATGTATGTATGTATGTATGTATGTATGTATGTATGTATGTATGTATGTATGTATGTATGTATGTATGTATGTATGTATGTATGTATGTATGTGTGTATGTATGTATGTGGGCAGAAAAGGATAGTTGTCAGGGCAAAATTGCATCAGACAGATATGTAAAGTGGTTAACTGGCTAAGGAGCACAAGTGTGAAGATATGCACAAACCACCAAACTCTTGCTTCTTTCCTTCTTCCCATCTTCACCTATAAATAACCCTAAAACAACACACATACATTTCACATCCAAACCACCATTAATCCCCGAAAAAAAAAACCAGACAGAGAATCTGTCTCCCTTTCGTATTATCAACATGAAGATGTCTTCGCTCCTTAAATTCTCCCCCTCACCCTCCTCCTCCTCCTCCTCGACAAAGCGAAAGATCTGTCCGATCTGTGACAGAACATTCGCCAACGGGAAAGCCATGGGAGGTCATATGAGAGCTCACTTGGCCAAGCTTCCCCTCCCTACTAAACCTCAGCCCGAATCCGCTCCGGCCCGCGAGAAATCACCCGTGAAAACGAGGTCGAATTCTGTAACCTCGAAGCCGGGTTCTTCGTCCGGTTATTGTTTGACGGATAAAGAAGTTGCTCTATGCCTTTTGAAGCTTACGAACGATGTATGGCCCAATGGAGTGAGACCCGTGATCCGATTTCCATTGACTAGAGGGTGCAAAAGACGAGGAGAACTCAAATCCTCCGACCTAGTGGACGAGGCCCAGGACAAGGAAGAAGACGAAGAGGAAGAGGAAGAGGAAGAAGATGACGACGCGTCGTTTTCAGTGACTAGGACAACGAGAAGCATGAAGAAATCGAGGGGTAAGTACAAGTGCGTGGCCTGCCCGAGAGTGTTCCGGTCGTCTCGGTCACTAGGCGGTCACCGGGCGAGTCACGAGAACAAGAGGGCGAAGATGACGTCACTGGACACGAGTTCTTCCGAGGAACTCGAAGTGGATCGGACGGTCGGAATCCGGAGGGTTTTCGAGTGTCCGTGTTGCGACAAAGTGTTCCGATCTGCTCAGGCACTCGGCGGCCATAAGAAGGTTCATCTTTCGTATCTCGAGACCGGAACCACTTCCAAGCCGACCGGTCGAAATGGTCCGAGGGCTTCGAAGAACCATGCCGTGAAAAATGCTGCCTTTGATCTTAATTTGCCTGCTCCTTTGGAGTATTAAACATGGATTCTGAAAATCAAACTTCATTTGGTTAGGAACTATATAAAAACCTATGCTGAATTTTTATATGTTTTCCTATGTGGTTTTGTATTGCTGTGTTCGTGTTTTGTGTAAAACCAATCATTTTTAATAATAATGCGCCATTTATGTCAAAAAATCGACTGTTTCATCCTTTACTATATATATACATGTGCTTGAAAGTTGCACCAAAAATAAGAATCTACATATATGTTTTTTTTCATCGTCATATTCCCTTATGTTATCGGAAGCGTTTGGTAAAAAGCTAGTTTCGGAAATTTTTGAAAAGTTTTATCGGATTTAAAAATATCACAAATGCTATTTTTCATAATATTTCTTAAAAACATTGTATATTAATTAGAAGATATTGACAAAATAAATTTAGTAAACTTTCTGTTGTGCATATTTATAGAAAACAAATAAATTCGGGGTGATAGAATTGGAAATTTTTATAAAATAAAATCTGCAGTATATAGAAGAAAAATTAATCCCGTTCAAAGTATATATTTATGGCGTAAACAAATGATAAACAATGCCCCTACTTTAACCATTAGCGTCGGTTTAAATCTTATAAAACGATATCGTTTCTTTGATAACAAAAACGATATCGTTTTTATTTTTTATTGTTATGTTAAACAAACAATATCGTAACGAAAACGACATCGTTTTATTTTCTTTCACAAACGATATCGTTTTATCTCCATCATTCCTACATGAGAATTGATGTCTGTTCCATGAGTAAATTTATTTAAAAAGATCACAGTATTAGTTCACTTCAATTCACACACACACACACATATATATATATATATATATATATTCACCTGCATCGAAGAAGTACAATAAATATAGAGAGAAACCCTAATTCGTATATAGGGGTACGGGTAAGAAATGAATCGTGACTATGAAAATAGTTTCAGAAATGTCACCATTAATTCTCGTGCATGTTTTAATACAGTGACTCGTAACTGAGAAATATACGGTCCAACTACATATACATTAAAACACACATACATGCATACATACGTATGTATGTGTGTGTATATATGTATAATATTCATAGTTCATAAGGAAGAACAGCAACTTCAACTTCTTGCTTATGGACATGTATAATGTTTTTTTTTTGTTTAATGAAGCGTGAACTCTATTATGTTTTTTTTTTGGTCGGAAAATCCAAGTATTTAGTGATTAATATCAAGCCATCTAAAACTGTTTCTTATTAATTGGAATGATTTCATTTTAAAAGTATCCAACTTGACAAACTAATTAAGCTGATTAATTACGTGTTGAAGTATTTACATGTAATTAGGTGCTGAGTTTTAGGGTTTAGTTGTAAATTATTTAGCCTAGTAGTGTATAAAAACTGCTAGTTTTCAAGACTTTTTGCTTTTTTAGTTTTTCCCATTTTATCAAATTTCTTTTAGAATTGTGCCTCTTTTTTAAAAAGTATAGCATTTTTTTCTTCTGTGCTGCTAATATTTTGTTCCTTGTATGATTTAAAAAATATTCATCTAAAAATTTATCCAACCTCACAAAATATAGAATTATGAAATAAACTAAACAAAGATTAAAAACTCTTATAATATCATTGTACATAAATAAAATATTTGGCATGCTTTGATTTTGGTTTATGGTATAATTATATGTCATTGATCAATTGACTGATTGAATTTAATTTAATTTAACTATTAGACAAGAATTAATAAGGCAGTAAAAAAAATATACATGAAATGATATATATATATATATATATATATATATATATAACATTATCATAGTAAACTAATTACACCATTACATATCTTTTAAGTCATATAAATTATTACACATATATTTACATTATAAATCAATTAGTAATATAGTATAGATAAGTCACAATTTTATAAATATACTTTCGTATCAAATGTTTATATGATATTACCTTTACCCAAAAGAAAATGTGTTTATAATATTACATATACTAATACGCGAGGCAATGGCATAAAAATTAATACATATTAGTATGTATGGATATAAAGATATATATAAATAGAGCGAATGAAGGCATGGTTCTATAAATCCAACCTAATGCTACATCCTATACTGTACACACTTATAAAAAATATATTTATAAGTGATTTGTTAAGGAATTTTGTTTTATCATTAGTAAATTGAAGTACCATAGTTTAAATGTAGGAAGTACCCCGATAAACCTATATTTATCTAATTCATCTTTTAATTAATACTTAGAGATATAATTTTTCATTTTAAAACTTTACTATCATTTTTTAATTTAATTATCTTATACCTATTTTTTTATTTCTATAATAATTTATATTTTCTTCCATTCGGATTTAATGGTATTTTAGATTTTTAGATTTGTTTTAAGTTAATGTCATTTTTATAATGTCACAAAATTTTTATGGTAAATTTCATTCCAACTTTAAATTTAGACAATACATATATTTTTAAACGTAGAAATACAATACACTAACTAAAGAAAAACAATATATCTATGTGTGTGAGAAAATTTTTGAAATAAATATCTACTGTGATTTAGTGTAATAATTCTGACAACAAAGAAGGAAGAATAAGATGATCTTCTAAATAATTTTTTCTTGTAATGATAAATAGATTATGAATTTAAGAAGGCAAAAAGAGTAACATAAGTGAATTACATGTTTATCAGAGAGATCATTTATGTAGTGTTTTAGATTTGCAAGTTAGAAATTTTTATTATCGATTTACGAAAACAGTAACATAAGAGTTACATGAATGCTCAACCAATTCACTCAAAGTTAAACGACAATCTTATTCGGTAATGTTTTCTTATTTAGACAATATTTTGGATGATAAATCGGTAAAAACAAAAACAACAATGGTCTAGAAGTTTACTTAAGTAGTTTAAGAGTTCGTCAACAAATATTAGCGATGGTAAAATATTTTAAATTTCAAATTATGCATTCAAATTAAAAATATAACCAGTATTTTATTGGTCTGAATTTGATATCAATTTTTTTTTATGACTACCACTTTTAAAGTTGGTGTATCCACGACAATGGTAAGATAAATTTGTATAATTCTTAATATAAAAAATTATTAAAAAATACAAATGCTAAAAATATCATAATATATATATATATATATATATAAAATCGTTATTAAAATATACACGCGAAAAAATCATACAAATAAATTTAATTGTTTCTAGAATTTTCGATAATTTATCTAGAGATTATTTATTTATTTATTTATAGTTAAAAAGATTATCTCTAACAACCGATATAGATGGAAATTTTAGGTTACTTATCTTTCCATGCATTTCTTTCTCTAAACAGATTCTTTTCTAATAAAAATAATACATTCATTGTGCCATTAAATGGACTTAATTATTTTCAAAGGCCTGTGTATCAAAGAAAATCTATGAAACTAGGTTAATATTTGTCATGCAGAAAAAAAAAAGGAATCGTTTAAGCAAACCAAAATTAATGAAATAAAAAGAAAATGAAGCAAAAAAGGATAGTTGTGAGGGAAATTTGCACCAAGCAAATATGCTAAGATATACACATATACACAACCACCATACACATTTCCCCTCCACCTATAAATAGCCTTAACACATTTCACATCCAATTCCAAGAACACAATATCACTTAGTCTTATTATGCTCCAAATCCGAAGATCGATGCCTTCGCCCTTCACCGTCTCCTCTCCCTCGTCGATCAGGCCGAAACATCTGTGCCCTAGATGCAGCCGACAAGCTGCCGCCATGCGACCCCGGCCCCGAGGAAGACCGCCGGCGAAAACGAGAACGAATCCGAAGAGATCCGCTTCCATGTCCAGTTCGGTAAGTTCCGGGTTTCTCTCTTTATAACATGGTCCGATCATTAATGGATAATGGAGTTTTAACCTGTTTTGGTGGTTTGGTTGAAGCGTATGTCTGGACCCGACATCAGAGCTCCGTTGAGTAGGGAGAGTAAGAGTCTTGCGCTGTGCAAGATAGCGGAGATCAAACACGTGGACGAGGGGGAGGACGACTATTACGTCTACGACGACGAAGATGACGCCACCTTCTCGTTGACGTCGAGGCGAACGACGGGAAGCAAGAGGAGGAGGCGTCGGAACGGATACAGGTGCGATGCCTGTCCGCGTGTCTTCGATTCGCCACAGGGGCTAGGCCGACACCGAGTGTTCCATCGGAACAATCCGACAAGGGGAGTTCTCCTGTGCTCGCACTGTCACCGAGTGTTCGAATCATCTGATCGTGAAAATGTCCCGGCCAGGGCTGATCACGCTCGGTTCGATCTTAATTTGCGACCGTCGTTGGAAAATAATTTCCCCTTGGATCTCAATAGGTTGCCGGCTTAATCCGTTTATCATTTTGTCTATGCTATGTAATCTTTTTCTTTTTCTTTTTCCTTTTTTTTTTTTGCTGTCCTTTCTTCGTGTTCACCAATAATATTAATAAAAGTTTTTTTTTATATTCAATATTCGGAGAAATGGACGTATATGTATCGAAACTTAGGCTCTCTCTCTTTTTTTTCTCAAATGAATAGGATGTCCATTTCGGTTCGGTTAATCGATCCGAACCAAATTTTAAAAAATTCTGAAAAACCGATTTTTTTTTTTAAAATCTATTTTTTAAAATAAAAATTGGAATCGAACCGAACATAATATAAAAACCAAATGGTATCTTTTTTTTGTAAAACTGAAAAAAAACCGAACCGATACATTCCCGTCCCGAACCGAACCGATTCCCGCAACGCCCACCCCTACAAACGACATGGATTTCTTGAATATTATTAAATCACATGTCATAATAAAAAAAATCTGAGAGAGGTTGGGTTGGAAACAACGGAGAGATTTATGTCTGTCGACTTGTAAGAAACATATACATGGATGTCACTTATGTCGACTTGAGAGAATATTACCCTATCGTTTTAGTATTATCCTGAAATTCATTTTCTCATTTGGTCGAGAAATATATATGGTATAAAATCATCCAAAAACAGACATTTTAGAAAAAATCTCAAAATGTTAAGATGGCTTAAAAAAATTATAAAAAAAAATCCTATACGTGCACACATTTTCTCAGATACTGTCGAAAATGAATTTAGTAATTATTTTTGTTGATGGTAGTATATATAGAAATCAAATAAACACATGGGAATAGAAATGGAAATATTTATAAAGTAAAATGATTTAATATATAGAAAGAATTAAATATATGAATTTATGTCCTATTATATACCGCTGGAAAAACGACGTCGTTCTAATTTATACAACGACGTCGTTTATATAACGAGCGAAAACGTCGTCGTTTCCCCTACATCATCTCCAAAGAATATATATATATATCTTAGTTACTAATTGTTTTTTCAAACTATTAGTGTTTAGTAAAAAAAGATGAGTTGCAACAATTCAATTCACCTTTCACATTTAATCCATATCCGAGTTAAGTGTGAACCCTTATGAATTTGCTGTGGTGGTGGATTAGATCGGTGATTCAACTGGTAAAAGAGTAGAGTAAAGCACGTACGTGCTCACCCCGGCCCAGGTTCGAACACCTATTTAGGTAGAGAGTTGTGTTTAAGTGGTAATTATCGGGCCGATATTTTGGGTTTAAATAGATGTAATTGGGCCAAAGGCACCGAAAACTTCCTAATTCACAAAACTTAAATTGCGGATATTGGCAAAATAAATGTAAAAGGATTTTCCCATCCATATAATTATGGATGCAAATAAAAAAATCATTCGATATATAGTAGAAATTATATTCTAAATCAAATTTCATATATAGGTAAAAACGACATCGTTTTTATTAAATAAAACACAGAAGTTTTAACTATAAACGACATCGTTTAGATCTTGTAATTAAAACAATTATGTTTCTCCATAGTTCGTAGGAACGAAGTTGTTTTTTCTTTATATAATTTGTAATGAATATCTTATGTTATATATGATGCACACGAGGTCCCGAAATTTCTAAAATTTTAAAATGCTTTTTTCCTGCCTTTAAATTTTATACATTAATAGATTTCATTGAAAATTTAGAGGCCCAAAATGTTACTCTCTTATATATACACATACACATAAAGTGTAACCCTAGTTCGAACGTGGAACTAGTTTCAAATACTTCCGTTTGATGACCATATATGTCTACGTACCTTCTTCTCGCGAACATGCAGTTATTTTCATGCATGGGTAATGTGAGAAATATACACGTCCGATTCAACTCTATGGTTGATAAAACGGTGTCGTCTTTTACTTTTTCCTTTTTTTAGATTGCCCTAAACCCTAAACCCTAATGGGTGATTTTTCCATTAAAAATGGATCGCGACGTTGCCCTAGACCGTAAACCCTAACGGATGATTTTTTTTTCATTAAATGGAGCGCGCTCACGTGACCGACGCGCGTGGTATACTTAGACCTTCGTTAAACGACACCGTTTTGGACAGGTCTTGAGCTTGATTCGTTTTCTCCGTCTTTGGTGACAAATCCACGTGGTTTTACGCACGGAAAACATAAACCGAAAATTTGATTGATTTATACAACGAGAAATATACATAAATAAATAAAATCACCGAGTTTAAATCATCATCATCATCACTACTACGCTTCTCGTAGCAAGCTCGAACCAAAACCAGCTTCACTGAATCTTTTTCCAATACCACAACACTGTTTTCTATGGTGGTTTATATATGTATATATACACACACATACATATCGATCTGAGTTTGGATCAAACAGCAGCAGCAGCAGCAGCCGCATGAGAGGAGTATTCAAAGGACCAAAGGGGTTCACTAACATGAGAACTTCGAAACAGAGGCGTGAATAAACCACCGACACTTTACACGCTATCTTTTATTCACGAGAGGATGTGAAGTGTGAGGATTTACATGTGTTATGTACGCTACAACGCCAGCCAGAGGAGCCCCATCCCATCTTATGTCCAATTGAAATCGGCCGGCGTCTTGGATTTCGTTTGTTCTGGCAACATCACACACCCGAGATCATATTCCAATCCAAGTTATAAACAATTTACAAAGAACTCATGTCACGATGACTTACGTCAAAACATTACATACATGGTGAGACTCAGGTGCTCGAGTTTCCGAGATCAAAGTCCATGGTGTAATCATATTCGATAGTTGGAATTACTGAGGCCATGAACTTCAAGAACAGGAACAGGTACCTACAGAGAGAGAGAGAGCAAAGCCATGAAAACAGTACGTACGTACAAGAGCCATGTTTCATGTGCAAAAGGAACTTACTTGTCCACTTCAGGTTCTACTCCACGCGACATTAACACGTCAATGATTTTCTTCATTACAGCCCCGTGTCTGCACGGGTGTACTGATGCATGTTTCCCCGGCAAGTGCGGATGATCTTCAATTGTCACCTGTTCATTTTTTTCCCACAACAAAAAAAAATATATTACCCAAAACTTGTCGTGACAAAGCCAAGACGAAACTGATGCAAATCCATAACACTACTAATAATACTATTTCAAGATTAAGAAAAACGAATGGATTTAGTAAGAAGCTCAATTGAAAGATTCTTGTCTTTACGGTTTTACGAGCATGGTCTTGGCTAACATCCTCCAGGACAAGCTCAGGCTGCAGCAGCATCTTTGACTACAAGACATACCAACAAAGCATTAAGGTAAGTCAAGTTCCACAAAACCCGAGTAATGTAGGACAGGAGAAAAGAACAACAAGTACTATTGTCACAATGTCAAAGTTTGAAACTAAGGGGCGATGAATGAGAGAGGTGAACCTCATCATATCCAGTCAGCCAAACGCGAGGAGTTTGGTAATACTTGTCATACCTGAAACAATGAGGAGTGTCGTCAGCTCATGTATAGAGCCAAAGACGAATTGAGCTACTGTCTTTAAAGTACTCAAAACAAGTAATATCATCAACTCAAAACATATAAGAAATGGCTTTTGTACATGCAAAAAAGCACATGAGTCTTACGTGATGCTGACATCATATGTTCGCGTTCGAAGGATATTATCATCATCCGGCTCACAAGCAACGAGATAGGTTGATTGAAGAGTTGCCTGAGTCGGGGGAAAGAAGAAAAATGGAAAATATTTTTTTAAGAAACCAAAAACAGGCTACAGAATGAAATTCAATCCAAGCGCTTCAGTTCTAATTCTAAATTCAATTTATTTATTGCTTTATTCAACTTCTTGTCAAATTTAAAATAAATGTTGAACCTAGCGCAAAGAAACAAAGTAGAAACTTGCAAACAGGGTGTTAATCGTATAGAGAACAAAAAGAGACCAACTTACAGGATCATTCTCAATTACATTATCGGTCTCATCAAACTCTTCCATGTCTGGAATATCTTCCTCCTCCTCACCTCCAAAGTATGTAGGTATTGACTGAATAGTGCTCGTATCATTTATTTCTAAGGCATCCATCGATGGCAAAATTTCTTCCTCCTCCCCTTTATCTGTAACAAATTCAACACGGAGAATCAGAGATTGAACATACCAAAAAATAATTCCCGAATGCTATTCTATCCCGCAAAGTTTAACCTTTTGGTCTCCCATGAGTAGCTAGCCAACCATCATTATCTTCGTCATCAAGCAAGACTTCACCTCCAGCAGCTTCATATTCCTCCTCCACAGATGCAGCTCTTCGTAGACATGGTACTGTCAGCTCGAACAAAATCCAAAAAGAAACAACTCGCATGGGTACGCAGAACTTAAAAGTTATACAAATGAGATCTAAAGATTTCCACTTTACCGTTTCTAGTAATCAAGAACTGTTTGTCTGGGGGCAAGTATGGCTTTCTTTTGCTTGGATCACCCGACTCCCTAACCAGAACGAAGTGTCATCAAAGTCCAGATTACACAACAAGCTTATGGCACACTGTTAAGTGGTGTGGACCAAAAATCACAGAGACCAATGCATTAATTCAACGAGCTATTACAGGAGAAATTGCATTGAGCTATAAGGTGTGCTGAAACTTGGTAGCGTAGAAAACACAGTAAATGCATCTCCAACTGAACAAAACCCTCGAAGAGCCAAGTAAAAAAAGTACATGTCTTATTCCAGACACAGTAGTGCTTTCCAGCTTCTGAACACGATGACTCCATAAAATGTCTCTAAGTTTCAAGTTTTAGCCTCTTCAAACAATCCAATTGTTGATTTCTATAAACATAATTTGATTCAAAGTCACTGCCGGTCATCTAGAATTTGATGCAATTCACAATTACAGACAGCAAAACCTCATATTGACAACACGAAAACGATGGAAAAACATAAACTTTATTCAGCCACAAAGCGACAACCCGAGTAATGACATCTCAATCTCACAAAACACTGCACAAGCAAACAACTTTCCTCCCAAACCCAGAGACCCGTCTTCCTCGAAGAACAAGTTCCCACATACCGGAAATCGCAGAACTCCAGCACTGTAAAAGGAAGGATTCACCACGAGAAATTGAAACAAATTAAAGTTCGAACTTACCAGGACCAGGTAGGGCATTTGGAGACAAGATTGTCACCGGCGAGAACGAACTCGCCAACGCTGAGTACTCCCTTCTCCTTGAACGCAGATATTGTACGAGGGCCTGTAAGCCTCTCCATTGTCCCTTTGAATGCTTCGTGAAACTTTTGGGACAGCGCCATTGCTATATCGGTATGAGTTGAGATCCGAGAATAGATTATCCAATGATTAATGCCCCAAAATTGGAGAAGAATTTTTCAAATCAGGATCCAATTGCGAACCCTAGACGAAGATGATGGCAAGATCGGAAAGAAGAAACAACAATACAATAGTATCTCCCGAGATTCCCTGTTAATTTGGATATGTCATTTCCCTTTATAATACTTTTGAGAAATTAACCAGAAAGCCCCCATATTTTTAGAACTTTTAATTTCTATCCTCTATTTTAATTAACAAAATTTCCAACTTGTAAGAATCAAAATGCATGGAGATATTATCACATTTGCCCCCCTGTTTCCAAATGTTTCAGTTTTCCTCCCGATAGTTACCAAATTGGTCCATTTCCCCGGTATCTCCACATGATTCGTATTCCGCAACCAAAAGTCATCTGAACAGAAACCCATCACAACTCAAACAGTACATTAGACCATATCTCATCACAAAAACACAGTTTCAGTGCCATTATTGAAGATGCTAACATCAAGAACAGTTGCTACATTGGTTTTTCAGGGTAACAGCACTTCAGGGTAACAGCACAACAGAACCGGAAGTTATCCTGTTCTCGAGGTCTGCTTGTGCATCAGCAACCTGAGACAACGGGTACTTGTGATTCACCCGAGCCCTTAAGATGCCGGAAGCTACGTTCGAGAAAACCTCACCAGCACATTCCAAGAGCTCATCCCGGGTCTCATTGTAATGCATCATGGAGGGTCTAGTCAAGAACAGAGACTTTGGGGCAAGGTCAGACAGTGGGACGGGGTCCGGAGTTCCCGAGGACTGGCCAAAACTCACCATGTACCCCCGTTTCTTCAGACAAGCCAACGATCCCTGAACACCCGATATTCATATGAGAAACTTGAAACACACACATTATTGGTCAGTTCGAAGTTCCATGTCAGAATGTATGTAGTAGTAGTGGTTACCTTGAAGGTGTCCTTTCCAACCGAATCATAAACTACATCAACCCCAATGCCCGATGTAATGTCACTGACACGAGCTACGAAATCCTCGTCCTTGTACATGATAACATGGTGGCATCCATCTTCTTTGGCTTGAGCTGCTTTCTCATTGGTAGAGACAGTGCCAATGACGGTGGCACCGAGGGCATTAGCCCACTGGCACAACAAAGACCCAACTCCACCAGCTGCAGCATGAACAAGGACTGTGTGCCCATGTTCAACCTTTCCAGATACAAGTAAGATCTTTGAGTCATATAAGGAACAGTTATGTGGGTAGGAGGGAACAGGTAAACGAAATTATAATCATTAAGGCAGAGTAAACTTTTTTTTGTTAAACTAAAGCAGAATAAACTTACCTTGAAGCAACGACGAAGTAGGAACTGAGCCGTCATACCCTTGAGCATGATTGATGCTGCGACGATAGGATCGATCGAGGGAGGAACAGGAACAACTTTATCAGCTGGAAGGATCTGTTCTTCAGTATAAGCGCCCATCGGATTTCCAGCGTAAGCAACTACGTCGCCCACCTTCCTGCCGGTTAATCCTGGGCCTACAGCTACAACCTCACCGACAGCCTCCATGCCTGTCATATAGACAGAATAAAATTAAGTAAACAGACTCACATACGCATAATGCATTTACATCTTTGCATGTATAAATCTGAAGGTTTGTTCCACAACAGACATGAAACCCCATTTCAGCAGTAAGTAACACAGCAAGTAGAAGTAAAAAAGAGAGAAAGAAACAGAGGATGTGCCAGAAGGTACATTGGTATAGTTCTTATTACTAGCTCCTGCCGGGGAGAAAGAAAGATGATTAGACTAAAAATACCTGGAGTGAAAGGCATGGAAGCTGGCTTGTAAACACCTTTCCGGTAATAAACATCGATGAAGTTGAGCCCAATGGCTTTGTTCCGCACCCGTATTTCACCGTCCTTCGGTTCCCCTATTTCCACATCCTCCCATTTCAGAACCTATCAATACAAAGTCGGAAACTTGACAAGATCAAACAACAGCTCCAGAGTGAGAATTCAAGAAGCAGCAATTATCAGAAAACCCAAATCATGGATAGACACGGACAGGGAACAACGTCACATGCTTATGGTGAGAGAGATGTAGCTACAAAAACCTAACTCGGGGCCCAAATGCGAAGTAACGACAACAAAAACCAGGTTTTCTCAATCCTTCAGCAATTGTAATCCAATTTCCAAGAACAGCCATTGCAACATCTCCCGCATCAAAATTACGAATTCGACAAATACCCAATTGCCCAATACAATCACAACCCCGAAAACAAAATCGAAATCGCAGAGAAGCAACAAAGTCTTCACCCACCTCAGGACCGCCATGCTCGTAAACCCTAATAGCCTTCACCATCTTCTTTAGCGGCGCGGCCTCCGCTGTGTCCGTGCTCAGAGCCTTCACAGCAACCACTACGCCGAATGATTGCGAAGGAACGAGCAAGAAATCCGCGGGGGCTAGACGAAATTTATGATTTTTCCTTTGACTGAGTGGAAAATTCGAGGAATGAAGCAGACGATGTGACAGATGTCTAAACGAAGAAGAAGCTGGAAGGAGCGCGTGATTAAGTCTGAGAGCTGCCATTTTCTTTGGCCCCTCACCTCCGTATTGATTTAAATTCACCATTTTGTTTTAATTAACGAATCCGACACAATTATTTTAATTCGATCAATTAGGTCCATTCTCTCGCAAATTTGTTCTATTTTAACAGGGGAAAATAGATAAAACATAATGAGAAAAAAAGGCTCCAACTAATGTGGTTTATTTTTCAATCTGTTGAGCTTTAAAAAATATGTTGTCAAATAACCACCTGCATATATTGTGTCGTGGGTAATTTGTAATTCTGTTTTAAAAAAATAGATTTTCTTGCAAAAATTAAAATCCAAAATTTAATATAACATTGGGTTTTTCATGGGGTTCTGTTAAAAATATTTTATATTGCTGAAAGCAAATTCAATTTCCCACTCTTTTATGACCCAAGAAGACATACATTGTATAGATGAACAGGGGAAACCGAAGCGTCTATTGAATATAATTGGGCAGCATAGGATTCTAAAAAGTTTAGGTCTCAAATGAAATAATTACTAAAGACAGAGGACATAAGTGATATTTTTAGCCTAATTTAAAGCAAACGCGAAGAACCAAGTTCCAATACACCTCATGGTCCATACACGTGGCGCCCGCAGGACGTGTGTTCTTAGTCTAAAGCATCACCGACCTGTCACGTGAGAACGTTTGTTAACGTTCTTTTAGAGTTTTGAGCTTCCTATTCAAAATTCAGAGCCGGCTTACTTTTTTCTTTTTCTTTTTTTTTTTTTGTCATTCAGAGCATCAATCTCCCCTTCTTTCCTTTTTTTTTTTTTTTTTTACCAAAGCTGACTTCTGATTTCTTTTGGCTAATCGTTTCGAGGAACCGGGTAAGTTTGATTTCTGGCTTGAATTTTCGTTATGGATATAGCATATGATTCGCTGGCTTTCCCTGTCTCGTGAATCCGCTATCTGGTTAAAGTTTCGATTTTTAGTGAAATTAATTGGAGACTGATCGGAACATGGAAAGGTCTTCTCGCATGTTTTGGCGATGATTCGAGATCCAGATGGGTTTTTGAAAGTTCGGCTTGTTGTGGGGGGGGGGGGTTTCTGGGTTTTGTATCTTTTGTGAAAATGGACGTGACTGGAGAGGAAATGGTCAATGGCGCCGCATTTGAACTTGATGGCGGATCCAGAGGATCTGGGCATAGGTTTTCAAATCATATCATATGATTGAAATGGTTTGTTTGCAGTGTCCCGTTCTGGAAACTGCCTTCTCTCAAATCACAACCATGGCTGGCAGCGGTTTCTTTTCTTCGTCGGGCGAAGAGAGAGCATGATTCGATGAAAGAAAAAGTCTGCAGATTTCATAAAACTATAATATAAAAGATAATGTCTGCCCTGTTCGAATCCTTTGACGAAACTAACTTGTCAGATAATTATTATATATTTGCTCCATTCACTTCATTGGTTGCCTCTCTCTCTCTCTCTCTGAAAGAATGGATACAGGAACTGTCGAACTTGTCTGAAACAGACGACCTGGTAAGTCTTCCCTCTCTCAAGGAAGAAGCTTTGCGTCGGAGCATTATCTTTTTATCCGTGGAATGAAGTGACTGATAGACACACAAGCAATCTGCATAAGATATTCACGAAACTTGGGCAAGAACCCAATGGCGATGAGATCATTTTGATGTTTTATGGGTCAATTCACAACAATAATCCTCGTTGACCATCGATTGCAGATAAAACTGTAAGACCCGGAGGAGGCCGGGGAGGTATGATCGAAGCTTTGCTCGTCGGGGTTGCGATCAAAGGGGACAACAACAAAAGCAAAGGCCTTGTCCGATGGGCGATTCAACAGTTTGCTTCGCGAAAACACCTTGTCTTCAAGCTGTTTCATGTCCAAGAAAGAATCACTTCCCTTCCCACGCCGCGTAAGTTCACTAACCATAGCGGTTTTCATCGATCTAACTCTGTCCCTGATGATCTGAAATCGCGATCTTTGTCAACAGATGGAATCTCGATACCCATTTCGAGCGTTCCAGAAGAGGTAGAAGCGGTTTATAAGAGCGATCTGAACCGGAAGACGAGGGAGATGCTTAATCCTTACGTAGACATGTTTGCCCGAAAAGAGGTAACCTGATAAAAAAAAACAGTTCTGAATCGCTGCTCTGTTCTTGTAATAATATACGAAATCTCTGGTGAAGGTTCGGTCCGAGATAGTTGTGATCGAATCAGACGATACGGTGGATGCCATTTCCAGAGCTGTTGAAGAGCACGGAATCAACGAGCTGATCGTCGGGGCTTCCTCCTATAGCATCTTTTCATGGTACCACAGACAAAACCTTCTCTTCTGTCTCGAAGGTTCCGGATTCCGCATCACAATCTGATCTTTACCCCCGAAAGAACAGTCTCTGTCTTTGCAGGAGGCGGAAGAGAAGCAACTTGTCCTCGAAGATCTTGGACTGTTCGCCAAGGTTCTGCACCGTACACATCATTTCTAGAGGAAGACTCCTGTCAGTACGCCCGTCTGATAAAGAACAGGAAGCTGCTGTTTCAGACAGTAGAAGCGAAGAAGAACGTGTTTCTGCAGATTGTCAAACAGGTAAAACCATCTTTGCAGTCATCTCTTTCTTGGACGATTCGATACACTTTCGAAATGTTAGAATCTTTCTCTTGATCTGGATGCATCCCGGTATCTGTTTTTATCTATAGTAGGCTCAGCTAGCGAGCCGCCGTCTTTACTCATCCAAAGACTTCAGGCTCTTTCAAACGTGAACCAGACGCTCGGAAACCATGGCAGAGCCCTGTCATTAGACGAGGATGACGAATCGAAGAAGAAGCATTGTCCGAAGGGCTTTAACTGTACCAGCAGTTCAGGACAAGGGTACACAACAAGTGATGTTTCGAGTAGGAGTCGCCTGCAGATGGAAACCCGAACTTCGTTTTCGGGTCAGGGTTCCAGTTCTAGTGGCTACACTGATTCTTCTTCATTCGTTAGGCAGGTAACAAACACTGTCTGAAACATCAGAATTCGAGCTGGTTTTCACTTTGACTGGACAAGAACTGAAGCTGGGTTGTATAGATGCAAGATTTGGACAGAGATTCCCCGGCCAAGGAGAAGGAGAAGCAAGAAGAAGCGAGAAAGATGCCCGAATTTGATCCTCAGTACATGATTTTCGAATGGGAAGAAATCGTTGAGGCAACATCTTCATTCTCGGATGATCTCAATGTGGGAATGGGAGCGTACGGAAACGTCTACAAATGTTGCTTGCACCACACGGATGTCGCTGTTAAGGTTCTTCACCCCGACAAAACCGGTCTCATCAAGCAGTTCCAGCAAGAGGTATATACATTAAACGCACACATACATACACATCTATATATGTATATATGTATATAACGGACGCCATTTTCAGCTGGAGATACTCAGCAAGATCCGGCACCCGCATTTGCTCCTCCTCCTCGGCGCATGCCCTGAACGCGGTTGCCTAATCTACGAGTTCATGCACAATGGCAGCCTCGAAGAACTGCTCTTCCTCGGCCACGGCGGCTCCAACCGCCAAACGCTGCCTCCATTACCGTGGTTTGACCGCTTCCGAATCGCGAGCGAAATCGCGTCTGCCCTCTACTTTCTCCACAGCACCAGACCGAAACCGATCGTCCACCGCGACCTCAAGCCCGCGAACATCCTCCTGGACCGAAACTTCGTCAGCAAGATCGGCGACGTGGGACTGTCCAAGATGCTAAACGTCGACCCTTATCATGGCTCGACTCTCTTCAACCAGACCGGACCGGTGGGGACGTTCTTTTACATCGACCCGGAATACCAAAGGACCGGTTTGGTTTCGACGGAATCCGACGTCTACGCCTTCGGAATCATACTTCTGCAGCTGGTTACGGCTAAACCGGCCATGGCTTTGGCTCATGCCGTGGAGAAGGCCATGAGAGAGGGGAAGTTTGCCGAGATGGTGGATGCGACGGCAGGGGATTGGCCGGAGGAGGATATGACGGAGATCGTGAAATTAGGGTTGAGATGCACAGAGCTGCGACGGAGAGACCGCCCCAATCTCGGGCAGGAAATTATCCCGGCTCTTGAACGGTTGAAGAACGTTGCTTGCATGGCAAGAAACGTGGTGGCTCCCAAAACCCTAATCGACCCTCCCAGCCACTTCCTCTGCCCCCTACGAAAGGTACGTTATTACGATTACAAAATGAATGTTTTTTTTAAATGTTTTTTCGTTATAAGCGTTCGTGTTTATATATATATATATATATTATATGTTTTTGTTTAATGAAAAAAAAAGGATATAATGGAGGATCCGTGCGTTGCCGCCGACGGATATACGTACGACCGGAGAGGGATCGAGGAATGGCTTCAAGGCAACGATAAATCTCCAATGACGGATTTGCCCTTTCCCGATAAAACCCTTCTCCCCAGTCATTCCCTCCTCTCTGCAATCAAGGAATGGAGATCCACCGTCCATTAATAAATTGTTCATTTTCACATGTTTATTTTGTTTTACTTTAAATTTGCCCTCGTTTTGGTTTATTGTATATATGTTCTGGTGAATAACATTTTATTTAAATAAATATATATATATAGAGAGAGAGAGAGAGAGGACCATGAAATGAAAGTGACGACCTTTATTTGTTTTCATTAAATAAGAAGATAGCCAGATGGTTCATTGTTGGTCCATATACGCCTAACCAAAATATTGGTCCCGTTGGAATAAAATTAAAAGTCCCCATAATAAAAAAATATGGTCCTCGAAATATTCACATAACATGTGTTTTTTCTACACGATTGTTTAATAAATTATGAATACGAGGGTTTATGTGATACGGGTTCTTCTATGAGATTCCATGTTATATATATATATATATATATATATATATAAATGAATGAATGAGTCGCCATACAAATCAGAACATTATTAAAAAAAAATATTTGGACACTTTATATTTATCTATATTATATAATAAAGAAAGCACATAAAAAAGCCGAAAAAATAAAACAAAGCTTCTCCAATTAAAATTTGTACTTTCAGACCCAAGAAAGCACACAAAAAAAAATATGCTAAAATGGATTAAAGAAAACTTATTTGGGAAAACAAACTATAATACATATGAGATAAATTGTGAACAAATTTCCGCGAATAGACTCATTCTTGGGTTCTATTTTCTTAGATTTCCTAAAATTTTATTTCCTTGTATTTATTTTGTTATTTTATTTCTATTATTTTCTTTTTTTAAACTCATAATTTTCCCCCTTTTTTCTCGAAAATTTTTTAAAAATAAGAAGAAGAAAAAATATATACAACGATATCGTATACTGTTTATATTGCGATCACGTCCCATTCAACTATTTGTTTATAATAAAATATATAATAAAATGGGAATCATCTCACTCGACAAAATACTAGAAAGTGGGATGATTTTGCTTTTCTTTTATCTTAATATATGACAAGTAAATCGATAGGACATTTAATATATATATATATATTATACACTTTATATTTATCTTTTATCTTTCCATGCAAATACTATACACGTAAGCTTCGTGCGACCAAATATGCAATAGAAATGCAATGGTAATTGACAGCCAATTGTGATTGCCTTTGCTGTAAGTGGGAAGAAGGTCCCCCCCCCCCCCCTCTTTC